CAGTTATACTAAGTGTTGGCGCATAACGCTAAAATTAAATTCACGTATAGCGTCAAAAACTGTCACATTTATAAGCCTTCATTGAAGACTCATTTGAGGTTGTTTCTGAAGTGCTGCCATAGGAAATAAATTTGATCTTTTGGTGAACAGACCTATTTAAAAGCCATATTCGAGACGTCATGGCGTATAGTAACAGCTAATTAATAAATGAATGTTTCTAATTACACGGCGTAATATCCTCACTCAGACATTTCGTAATGGTACCTTGATGATTGCCGCGCCCGTTGGATGCGTGCTGTAAGTATTGTCCCAGTTAGTCCCAGCGTACTGAGCCTAAATTTTGCTACCAACGACTATTCATAGAGAAACTTGTGAAGACTGCATACTGACTTCACGTTAGTCATTTACTAGCAACATCGTATGAAGTTTAATCCTGATAGAAACATTGCAGTCGAACAAATGTCCTTGGTTTACTATTCTATAAGACTGAATGGCGCAATCCTCAAAATGTAGTACGCACTTACCTGTTCAACCTGTACGCACTTACATAAATGGTGGGCCTTTGGACAAGTCAAACAAAAATCAAGTCTCGTAGATTATGTAGTTGCTAGTTGTATTCTCAAGTGGGTTCAATTATAAAAGTTTCCCTTGAGGTGGATTGGCATTAATTATCAGTAAGGCGAGTCACCTACAATATCATTAGGAGAGTGCTGATCTAGCAAAACATCAGGCTCTTATTTTAGCTTTGCAATTTACTTTTTCGTAAGAATCACAGTTAAAACGCCAAGTGAAGTGAGAAATCAAACAATTAAATTGTTAATTTCGCACTCTGTATGATAGCATTATCATTTTTAGGAATTTATGCATGTTTACGCCGTGTACCTTACGTAATTGGAATATAGTAACTTGTAAATATATGAGGATTTCCATGAAACTTAAAAAAGCTTGAATCTGGGTCAACCTATGGCCAAATACTAGTCCTATGACACTTTTATGAAGGTTTTCAGTATGTCTGTCGCTCTCTTTTCTACAATAGATAGATATGCATCGTGTTATAACTAAATCACGCTTGTACAAATCGACACACTAAACTGTGCATTATTGTCAGACAGAACTTGTTTTGCTGGAACGAGAAAGTTGCCCTCAAATTACACTGTCAAATTATTAACGATATTTGAAACTATTCATCAGTTACCAGCAATGAAAGGAGGACGAGGAATATGGAGCCGACCGCCTGCGCTAAGTCTTTTGTTTCTACCGCTTAGCGAATGCAATTAGGTATTAACGAATAAGTTATGAAGCTGCCGCCTTATAAAATGGTCTTCTACTCTGGTATTTCAATATTTCGGATTCAGTGCTTTTTTCAAAAACACGTTCAGTGTTTCCGATCCTATACTTGGTAAAGTCTGAGCACACAGCCCGTCTCAACCTTACGTGTCGTAATATAATTCCCAAGTCGTTTAAAAATTTAACGGTCGTTGGATACATGAAAGTCAGCAGAACATTATAAAATAGGTTCTCGAGGATGGCTCTTCTTGGGTGTCATGTCTTTAATATTTATAACGAGCAAAAATTTTAGATTTAGTTTTCCATAGAAAATTTGCTGTGTAGAATAATAGACTAAACTTGATTTGTATGCGATTAGCAATGGTTCCTGTAGAAGATTTTGAGCAAGAGGCCAGGAACAGCCTTACCCGTTAAAACAGCCTCGATGAGCCCTTTACAACAAAAGCACTTTGTGGAACATCGCTTAAGTTAACTAGTTATGCAGTCAGCTATTGAAATGTGATTTTCAGTTAAGTTTTAGTGAAGTAAGATTAGTAAGTTGTTTATACTAGTTACAGTATAAATAAGTATTTGTATTTCTCTAGTAATTGTCAATAGTGTACAACACGGGACATTACATCGCCGTCAGGTTCATGCGTTATCGATAAACGAAAAAACCTAGAAAAACATCTGATTTTGGATTTGTCACAGAGCTGTGTAAGCCCTGCGTACAATTCATGTCGCATTAGACCGTAGGAAAAATAACTAGAAAGTTCTAGTCTTTCAAAAGATGGAAAACTAAGACCTTTAAGATACTCGAGAGGTAGAAAGAACCTCATCAAATACCACGACCAGAGCATAATAAAGCCCACAGAGCCGTCCCCTGGAACGTTAAAAAATGCCTACCTTTTTCGTGACAAACCTAAGGTAAAGTAACAATTGCATAGGGATTTGCGTTCTCAGAAGGATGCAAAACCAGGCTTGCAATGGGAGAAAACGGCGGTATACAACTGAGAAAATGCTTGTAGTTGTGAAAATGGCAAGGGAACAACAGGTGAAGTAGTATCCGTCCGAACTGATAATCTAGCGCCTTTCCTACTAATAGATTTACTTCGTCCAATTTCCAGACTTATATCTTTCCCTACAGTCAGCCTAGTTCTGTTCCGCCCTTTACATATACTAGTATTAATTGGAAACGGGTGAAAGCGTTTATCATGAAATATCCAGCTTTGCCTGAACTAGGGTGAGAAAAATTATCTAATTTGGACATTTCTTATACAGAACTAACAATGTCCTTTTTAGATTACTGTACCATAGCAGTAAAAAAGTAATCGGACGCGAATACTAAATGGACATCCCGAAGCAAACATATTTCTACAGGGTTGAGCATGGATTTCCTTTTAGAAATTTCCTCTTAAATTCACCTTCGTCGAAATTTCTTTATAGTTTTATTTGGACCTGTATTTAGCATCGATATATATGAATCTTGGATGGTGAAATTTTAGTCACCTTCGGCTTGTCGAGATTACAGAGAGCGAACTACGCAAATAAAATACCCCGTAATACAAATATTGCCAAGCAACTAAAAACAACTAGTCTATGTCTGGGTATTTTTTTCGAAATATATATATGCTGTTACATTATAGCAGAATTTGAAGGCGTATTACTAGAACACACGATGGTACTCTGAAATTGGTTCAGTCTGTTTGCTATCAAAATATTCATGGACAGAATACGCTTGCAGAAGTGCGAAGGCAAATCAAGCGAAAAAAAAGTTACTTTAAAGAAAAATATTTGCTAACACGATCTCGGTGTCGTATGATGAATTAGTCACAACGCTGTGATGCACACTTCATTCATATATTGAAGCAATTATTTTTAGATTAACACATCAAACTTCCTTTGTACTCTAAAAATTTTTGCAGTATTTGTGATGTATATGACCGATTTACGCTAAGGCGCATTTGGGCTCCGACCAATGTCCGAAAACAGCACGAACCAGGCCTTATGGCCAGTGCCATAATTGGGTAATTTTTAAGAAATCTGCCGGCCATGGCGAACGGTAGGGAGCAGAGGTTTCAAAAACTCAAAATAACGAGTTTTTTTTTATAATAAGTTTTATAATAAGTAAGGAAACGTTAGATATTATAACAGATTTCTATGGCTGAAAATCTTAACAATTTATAACGCACAACCAGTATGCTAGCTATCAATCAAAATATAGAATCAGAATATTGTGTTTGCAATGCTTACGTGTTATGGCACTTTAACGTTCAGCACGATAATATGACTAGCTGCTAAACTTCCGCATTATTTAAAAATTATGTGACATGGAAGAGACACAACCTTGATGTGGGTCATAACAGATGCATTTTTTTTTATTTGTCTCTATACCATTCACTTTTTACTAAACAGTATGTACTCAAACCTAAACACTTTCGATAAAAATAAATGTAAATACCAGCATAGATACATTATTTCATCTTCACAATAAATAAATTACACTTTGATTAAGAATGATCCCATCAACGATGTCTCTTCTTATCCAACAAGATATTTTTGATAAATTAGATATAATCTATGTAGTCTCGTCCGTCCAAGCGCATAAACGCTTGACAGACGAAACGGGGTATTTACTATACTACGCAAACGGCTTGTTTTGTTCATATTCCTTATTAAAATACGTCGCACCTTACTGATGCGGGCTACCCCAAAACGAAGACAAATGCAATAATTCTGTGAATGTAACACATTCGTTTAAAGCTATAATACCATACAATATAGTTCGACGTAGGCTTTCGAAATATTTTGTTTTTTCGTTCATTTATATGCACAGAGGTCAACGTTAAGAAATAATTCGCTAACGTCGTTCTACCCACAAAAATATTGGAAAAAAAAACGATAACAAGCGCGATGCTAGGCATTTATACGGTGTTTTCTTTCTACAATCCACTTAAATTTGTTGTGTCGTTCCTATGTCATCTCAAATACTTGCGTGCTCGTATGTACTCTCTTATGGACATGCTCTCAAGCTCAGGGATGCTCCTTATTTTCTATGGATTAGTTATTGCTTACAATCGATCAAGCCGCCTGCCCTAAATTTCCTTTTAATGTTTCGTTTAAAACGAATGTGGCAGTGATTTCGAGGGAATGATGGATGTGGAAAGTAAGGCTAGGTCCATATTGAGGGTAGACTTCCAAACATGTTAGCACTGCAGTCGTTTCCTCTTCAAAGCCCGCAGTGAATGTACAGGATGGTTAATGCCGGCTAGTTAATAATATAAGATCACGAAAGAGACGGTTTTTTCTGTAGTCATCATTTTGTTCAATCTAAAAACGAGGATGTAGTAATGGTTATACAGAGAGTTTAAGGCGATCTTCAGCGATTGCGTACCCAATGCAGTCTATGTCCTAAGCAGTGCAAAACAAAGCATAGCTAATATCCTACGTCCTAGATAACGTTTAGTTTGGCCACACGCCATCCTTTCTTCGATCTTACACGCCATCACAATACTTCATTCGGCAGTCGACCCTAACTAAGAGCTGAATGCCTATTTAGTCTATTTAGCTATCATCGTAGTTACTAGAAGCCATTAGAATATTCCCAAAAATATTAATGCTCAACAAGCAGCTCTAGTTGAAATGTAAATGTACCTTGGCAAAAGGAAAACATCTACCTAATATATGAGAGACTATAATTCTGTATTGATGCGTCAGTGAGTCGCTTCAAATACCTGACAATTTTTTGTGTGTCAACTAATTTTGGTTACGGTGTCCGCCGTCATCCACGACCTTGCCCTTCGTCAAATTACGATAGCTCGCCAATAGGCGCGTTCTTCAACCAGAGTTCATGCATAAACGTATAGAGCTTCTCCGTAACAGACACTTTATAAGGTGTGGGATTAAGTGTGCGCTTGATGTCAGCGCGTAGCGAATGCATCTGCGACATCACCCGTTGGCGAACGATTTCCAGCTCCGGTAGGGGACTCTGTTCTGCACCGTCGGACCAATACAATTGATAGAGTGATTCTACCTTGTGAGGGCATACGAATGCCCGTTTTGTCGAGATGAATGGGTGACGGCACAATACCTGCGTGGCAATAATAGTTCAAGTGAGTTTCTTACAAATTCATGCTGACTAAAAGAAAAAATCACAAAAATATAAGTGAAAATCGATTGTTCGCTTTCCATATGGAGCTTTAGCCGTTTATCACGTACATCCTGATTCATTGCTGTCTCAATTACGTGCTTCTGATCGCATCATTTGGTAAACTGGATGATCCTAGATGGCCTGAAAGAGCTGCACGAAAACGCTACATATATGCGCTATGAAACACGAGTGATTCCGAGATGCTTGGTAGTGAAATCTGAACAGAATATTCATAGAGTTATCTTTGTTTAAAATAACAGAAACTACAATTTACGCAGTACTCTGAGAACAGTATAAACAACTGCGACGATATTAAGATTATGCTGGAACGAGCTGCTACAGTTATTTGCATTTTGTTACCCATTTAAATCGACGTAGCTTCGGCTTCCTCAAATGAGCAGACTAATGTATGCAGCCTTCAATCATTAGTATTTTAAACCTCCCGGGCTCTCGGAATTAAACGAGGAACTACCCGTAACAAATATTGATCCGCTTGACAACCCTTGTAAATATAGTGGACCACTCAACGATTTGACTGGCGGACATGGAAAGGAGTTCTATAGTAGTTTGTATTAACTTTCTATCACAAACTGTTCCGATGTACTGTTAATTAAACCACAATGTCGAAATCTTTTTAAAGAGTCTATTATAAGAAAGAAAATGTCTTTGGCCAAAATTACAATTTACAAGATCTGTAAAAGTTCTGAAAAGTTAAAAAAAAAACGCTTTGTACCGTTTTAAGGCTAAGTTGACTATACTATAAATAGAGGGTATCAAAATGCTGACCAAGCAAAAAACGTAACAATTAGCATTGATAACATCAAAATAACAGAATAAATCACGCTATCTCTTCCCATGGCAACAGATGCCGTGTGATATGCATGCATTGGCACTCAGGACACTGATTCGAATATGCAAAATTGTAAACAAGCAACTTCTTTTGTACCGAATTTAAACAAAGGCTAGATCGTAAAAGGGTTCATTCATTCGGCTAACGTGCATGCCTCAGTTACATAAGAGGCGACTCGCATAATTCTGTAACTGAGAGAAAATTCATTTACGATGTCGTTATTTACTTTTTTTAATGTAACCTGGACGTTGGGTCAACCTCGGTCAGTTAACCGAACTTTTAATTAAAACATGCATACATAGTGCTAGCAGGATCTAAACTTACCTTCTCTCCGGGCATTGGTGCATCTTCATCGATCAGTTGCAGTAGATCTAAAAGAGGGTGTCCGTCCCGACCATAGAGTCTGAAAGCTTTTTTTCGACCTGGTATGGTAACCTTTTGCAGGTCGTTGCTCAACTTGATGCACGGCTGCGCATCTATTTCAACCAACTTATACACACAGCCAAGCGCCGGCTGCTTCTGACACGTCACTAGATGCGTTCCGATCCCGAAACAGTTGATGTTATGACCTTGTTCGTTAAGTGAGATAATCGTTTCTTCGTTTATATCATTACTTGCAACAATTGTCAGATCGACGAAGTACGGCCGATCATACCGCTCTGAGATCTTCTGAAATATCATGTGTGCTTCACGGGATAAATAGGCCAAATCACCGGAGTCGAGCCGAATGCCGACTGCTCGATAACCCATTTCATCTAATGCCAAGGCAACTGAACAGAAGTTGATCAACCCAGATCGAACGACATCATAGGTGTCGACAAGACCCAAAAAGCTTTTAGGAAATGCTAGTGCGTACGAAATGAACGCATAAAGTTCGGCATCGTTCGACTGCGATAACTGAAAAATTTGTGATTCGCACAGTTCTTTTCGCCAATTCAAACTCAACTCAAGTAGGTTTTTCTGTTCGCCAGTAATGGCATGCGGCAGTGTAGGATTTTCAATTTCATCTTCGAGATTGAAGCTCATAACAAATGCGTGGGCATGAGTACCTCGAACGGGTATTTTGAAAAGCTTCCCTGCCATCACATTTGAAGTACCATCAAAGCCGCCAACATAGGCGTACTTTGAAGCAGACAAACCACCGTTCGGGCCTTGGGCTCGCCGTAGACCGAACTCGAGTAGTCGCGTCTTTGAACCAGCTGCAAGACGAAACCTTGCAGCGTTTGTAGCTACAAGTGATGCATAGTTGACCAGATTTAGGAGGGTAGTCTCAAGAAGCTGTACCAGCGCTAACGGTCCCTCAATTCTTAGAAGAGGTATCCGAGGAAAAACGACGCTGCCTTCCTGCACGGAATACAACTTCACGTCCTTTGCTGTCAACTGAGCAAGATAATCGAAGAACTCATTTTTCACTGTGGGCATCTCTTTTCGAAGATAGTCCAGATCGGAAACGGAGTAGCGGAACTTTTTAAGAAACTCCACACAATCTGCTAATCCTGCAAAGACAGTGAATTCGCCCTGAAATGGATTACTGCGGAAAAACAGTTCAAATACAGCCGGTTTGCTGTGTTTTCCTGAGCACCAGTAAGCATACGCCATTGATAGCTGGTACATATCTGTGAGGAGCGGTTGAGCCACTCCATCTAATCCCGACATCGTATAGTCGTAGTCACACAAACTCTGAAAAACCGTACAATTCACGCATGAGGTTACTATCAAGCGTTTATATTCGATAATACAAACTGTTTCCTATATATATATATATATATATTTATATATATATATATATAACATAAAAGCGATTTCTACTAATAAATAAAGAACAGCTTGTCGGTATCGTATACACTAACTACGCATAACATGCCAACGAGCGGTACAATCTAGAGACTGCGGATGTGACCTACGGTGCTAAAATCTTTACGCAGAATACGTGGACAGAGCACGTACTAGCCAGTGGCGTTGCTTGTACTATTGTTGCTTGTTATTTTTTTCAGGTGATGATCTAATAATAGTACGGTTAGTGAAACTGACCATACGAGCCTTTACCATTCTGAATAAGCATCTGAACCGCAATTTGCTTGATTACTCTCAATCTGAAGAGTCAGCCTAATTAAGATGTTTGCATTCACTTACATTTGACAACACTTTGATTCGCGCCAATCCGCGGTACTTTAATGTACCAACAAAATACCAATTCTTAACAAATGGTTCATTTCTTCACTGTTTAAAGCAGAGTCCATACAGAAACAGCAAAATAATGGCCAAATCAAGACACATATCACTTTGCATTGCATTTGCGCCGGTTTTGTACGAATCGGTCTTTACTTGCTCGCTAAGGCTTTCATGGGAACATACCAGCCTTGACCCATAGAAATGTGTTCATGTGCAGAACTTGAATAAATGATTACATCTGTTAAGCCTTTGTTAAGCATTTGCTTCACCGGATTCTTGGCCTAACTTACGTACAACAAAAGAAATTATTTCCAACGCAAATAATTTCTCACTAAAAACTTAGTTACTTTTGCGGTCAACAATACTAAATGCCACGTCGAAAAACTTACTGATTCACAGGCACGGCAACAGTAAGGCAGAGGTCCTGTTTTATAAAAGTAAAAATGATAACAAAGCAAATATTAGCAGACTCGAAACAGGATCGACACAATAACAGCCGTTTCCAAATACGAACTAACTGCTCGTCCTTGGCGCATTATCAGCCCCTTATCGTTGGGTCGTTTCCACTCGTCACGGGGCCATCACTATACAAGAGGCCTCGGGGTAAGCGTTACTCCTAGCTGGTGGCCGTTAGGCCCGCCGGGCGCGTTAGGCACCTTTGTAAACCTTTTATACCTATTCGAAGTGTTGTTGTAAATGCTTAGTTATCAGTACCCCGTATTTTTGAGAGGAACGTATCGGTACGAGATTTATGACTTTCTGAGATCTTCTACTCTTATGAAGAAAATACCAGGATATTAGATGCAATTGATCAGTTACAATAACATTTTTTTTACATTTTTTTACATAGTTTTTAACATCACTGCTGAAAGATACCTGCTTATGAAAATTCTACCACCAAATTACCAAGGAGAATAAGTTTCATCTAGACGCAGAAAATGTACACTGATTATTGGCTTAAGGCTGTATTTTGCCGTACGTCATCTTCTGTGTGGGAAAAGTCTGCAAGCATGACTTGTCAAAATGGGAATTTATACAAATAATACAAGTTAAAATAAGATCTCGCAAATGTGGAAGTCACATGCAACACATTTATACTAAGTAATATGGACATGGTAAGAAGTGTAGGTATAAGCGTGCTGCCGCGTTATGCATTATCAGCATTGTTCTACCATCCATTCCAGTGGGTTTACGCTAAAAAAGGATAGAAAAACAAACCACACGTCACGACATTCCATTAAAGATAGGAACAAACTGCAGACTTTTATTACAGAATTTCAGGGCCATTTATAAATGATCTTTTGATGAGTACTTTTGTCCGCGTCTGACAACGTTCATAATTCGGTAACTCAAATCCAACGCAGTCAATTGATAGACAATTCTTGCTTTCTTGTACGTTATTTTGGGTTAACATAAATACGAACAGGTACATTTATAAAGTTATAACGAAGATCATTAAAAATAAATAATTAACTCACCATGACTTACCTTAACCCCAAATTTTTCTATTTCTTACTGCCATCATTTTCAGAGAGAAATAGTATTTAACCGTATCTAATCGACGGCTAGTGCAGTACCTGAGAAAGCCAACCGCTGTTGTTTCAAGCCATGCCAATAATACGTGGCAGGTGAATTTATATATTCTTAGTAATATAATATAATAACCTATTAATAATTAGCTTGAAGAGGTCTCCCTTTCAGGATCGAGTTCAGGCCATTGCCCAATGTATCGTTGTGAGTATGCTCGAAATCGCTGATCCATTTTTGATAAAATGTGACTTGTCACTCAGAGTTTGTTAATGAATAACGTTACCGACTAAAACGCCTATTATTTAACTAGAAAATGGTAATTATATTGGATGCTATTTGGATGTTCATATGTACCATAAGTTTATTCTATAACATAAAGATTGACAGTTGGTGAGGAACAATTAATTCTCGTGGAAAAGTGAGATTGACAAATTGTACCAGCGTCAGCCATGTAGGAAAGCTTAATGTTAGCTGTAACTAATTATAAAGAATCGCCGTACAATAAAGATATAATGTATGATAATTTAATTAATAATAAAAATGTATGACAGTTTATTCTAAAAAATTCCTAATTCCATGTCCTTGACTCCGCCGCCTACTCCACCCGGTATGACTTGATATAACAGAAGCACAATATCGATAGCTGTCACTATGATATTTACATATATCTATTACATAACTTTTCATATAATTTCATTTCGAATACATATTATGCAATATATGAAAAAAATATGAGGTTGTTTGCCACCATACATCACACACAGGCTCATATTGTATTAGTCTCAGCACATCGAGCCACCCGGGTCAGGCTGTTTAAAGTCCAGAAATTTAATTGCTGATAGATCCCAATCAAACCAATGCGGTTATCTAACTAGCTAGCCCTTCAAGGTCCACTTATTTCATTAAACTATGCACAATGCCAATGTAAAGTACAGTGCGAATGTAACTCTAACTTAATGATTACACGTGATGGAGTTCCCTATTCGCAGTGTACAAGCAACTTCAGCCGATAAGTTCTACTCTTACTATTAATACTGTTACAATTGTGATCACGTGGTTAGCGAATGAACAGTTAACAAGCGAACTGGAACGCAAGCCAGCTATGGTCTAAGTTCTTAACTATGGAATAATTTACAAGTTAGATAGTGTCGCTTAAATTGGGAACAATAAAAACCTTTTGCCGCTCTGCCATCGTTATCGAGACTGACGTACGCCACGTTTCTACGCCGACTGGAGAAATGAGCACAGTTGAAGTAACGATTCTATACAAGATGATGGGACACGCAAATGAGAGCACTTCATGATACTAACAGCAGAAAATCACTCTATGCTAACAAATTAGAGCTTTAACATTTATCGGCAGCAATGATATCTAACATAGGAGGCGCTTCACTGGTGACATCGGCAACGATAACTATAAATTATTGGTACAACGAACAAACGAACGCTGATACTACTCCGCTGAACCAGAGACGTAACGAAGAATGAAGTGATCGAACGCAATCGTACAATCGTGTGACATGATGACACAGCAGACACATTACGATCAGATTTTTATGGTACAGTTCATCACTACGTGAAACAGGCAGCCAATCGGTAAGTCACTCAGCCAGCCATTACACGTCTACGGATAAGTGCTAAGACAACAATCACAGTCACTACAAAGGCGCAACAAGCGAAATAGAATATTAACAAAAGATAGTTGTCGTATTGTGCAGCCGAGGCCCAGAATACAGTGAATCTTTAATGTTCGCCTTATGTACTGGAAGCATCATATGCTGTAAGACTGAAGCTCATTAGGTTACGCTATGGTGTCAAGGAAGTTCCACTGTCGTTTCTAAAAGTCCCAAGTTCGACCCTTTAACGTGAGGAGAACTCACGCATTCACAACAACTGGAAGGAAATAACTGCCGTTTTGCGCGGCGATTGACGGCGTCTCTGGAGACAAAACGGGTTGTTAGCTCGGTGCTCAATTCTATGCAGCACTTACATAAGCGTTTGAGCACCGCGCACACAGTCGGCTCGCGAGGATAGTCATTGTTAGTCACAAAACGTCATTTGGCGAAACTCAAGGAAACAACGAAGTTACGAAACACAACATTGAACACTTCACACCTCGATACCGTCTAATACTGACATGAAGACAGGACACCAAGAGTAAGAAACATCGAGTCCTAATTGCTGAACATTTATACAAACATGTACATTTATACAGCGATCTATGAACACAATCGACAGTTAAGTCATAGAGCATTTGCTATGATTGGCGTCCCTGTTCCGCTTGACTTTCGCAGTTCACAATAGCCATTCTAACATGGCAATTAGTAACCATTAAGTGATCGTCGGCGCCGACCACCGTAAAGTTGAGCCCGAGCTAAGCTGAATGCCAGTTCAACAACAATTATGGCAGTCTCAAATGTCACGCAGAGTCGTATCTCGAAGACGAAGCAACAACGGGTGGCGCCAGATCTAGGCAAAGCTAATACAGCGCGAATACAGTATCAATCGGAGAAAGCTACACAGCAGCTACGAGCGTGTTTCGGAATGGTAAACACAGTGGCAGGGTTCGGTACAGCTACTCGATCGCGATGTGTTGCTAGTGCGGAGCAGACGACGCTCAGAGCGCCAGTGAGACACAAACAACTGGTTCTTGGCCAAAAGCATGTATGGCGATATTTTCGATTATTTTTAACGGATAGCATGGATAATGCGACTAAGCTAGCACTGAAAAAGCGCTTGAATTTACGTAGCTCGTAGGTAGTATATGCACAACATAATAATCTACTCTGTAATGTTGGGCACGTTTGTTTAAACATCAGAACTTTGTTGAAATCAAAGCAACATGTTGAGGTACGATGAGTTGCGTTTGTTGTTCGCGCATGGTGTCCATTCAGAGCAGGCCACTGCCTTAGGCCTACTAGTTATTTTTACGTGGGTTTACTATGTATATAGAGCTGACAACGATAGAAAATAATGATGTAGAGGATACAATGGGATGATTCAGTGTATTCATACGGGACCTTCACGGTTTTGAGCTGGGTACCAGCAAACGGCGTGAGCATGCGCAAAACAGCATGCACGTAGGCAGGAGGTACGCCAATATTTGTCACAGAAAGCAGAGACCCAGACAGATTTATCCACAGACAATAGGGGAGAATATGTTTAAAAAAAATGAGATTCTTTGTGTTGTTGAAGTGTCGAGCTGTGAGTTCGATATTGCCGTTAAGCATATGCACTGAAGTTGGGCGCGAGTAGTTTGCCTCGATGTATAGGTAAAAATAAAAGCAAAGGTCACCTTAATTAAAGCAAGTAGACACTTCACTTAAAAATGAGAATTACTTAATTGCCATTTGCTGATACTGGACACTAAGGTTAAAAATATATCTATAATGGAATAGTCTCAAAAATGTCTCCAAAGAATGTGGCTATTTTTAGCGGCTGAGCCACATCTGACGAGAAAACTGTACATAGAAACACTCATCTTGTACAGTTAGAACATGAAAACCATACTGAACATTCAGACTTTACTTACTGCTGCCGAGTTTGATACATTTGTTAATAAAATGAACGAATTGATAAAAGCTCAGTTCTGAGATTATGATTGTGAACAGAAGCATGCAGAGATGAATCGTGAAGTATGAATTGTTTATGAACGTATTGTATACGAATCGTTGCTACCGTTACTATATTTGTAAGAATAAAGATTTTTCCATAACCGATAGTCAGTTCTTTCTTCTATGACAGAGATCGGTATCGATGTTGGGTATTGCTTCAAAAATCCAGATTGGGATCTTAGTACACAATTCCGAGCTACCTATTAAAAAAGGACTGCGATATCCATTATATTTCAGTTGCTTATATAGGTTAGTTCTAGAGGTACCAGAAAACTGCTTGCTGCAAAGGTTTGGATTAAACATTCTCCAGAAAAATAACACAATGAACATCTCCATGCATTTAATTTAAACTGGTCCCGGTGATAGCTTATTAAGTAACATATCTGGTGGGAAGTTGAGGGACAGGTTATGGTCTAGATTCTAATTCAGGCATAGACACACTTCGTGTCGTGCTGGGAGCCAGCCACAGCATCAAATGCCTAACGGCGATACCGGACGAAAAACTCGAAACATAGAAAGACTGCCCAGTCAGTAAACAGGTGTTGAACGCACGCCAAACTTTATGCCTTTTCTGGGATATCTGTGTAGAGACAAATTAATGAAGGTAGAGGCCAGCCGCCTGTAGCACTGTTTTATCGGACGTAAAACTGAGGAAGTCAATTTCTTATTTTTAAATTAAAAAAAAGTGAATATCGAATGAATAGAGGTAAAACTATGAGAAAAACGACAGATCTTGAGCCCTCTGGTCCTATATAATATCTCGCAGTTATGATAAGATAATTACTTCACTTACCAACATTTCGGTCCTGATAATCAACTTGTACGAAATTATCACTTAGTCATGTTTTTGCAAGTTAGACAAACTGTATATTCCGACGCGGACTCATCGAATATGAGACGTGCAACCCGAGTCTTGCAACATTTTTTGCATTAATGATTGCTACATATTTGCCTACCGCGACTTTTCAGGTTAACGAGAATGCTAAATCTTAGGATCACAGTGAACTTCTTGATCATTATATTGTCATATCGAACATTTAAATATGAAATTTAGAAGAAAAACAAGTTAATTATTACTGTTACTATGCATAATAAACGTATCACTCGCAAAGGTGTCACTTGAAGTTAGAACATCAAGAAACGCAGCGAGTAACTTATTCAAATGCGTCGTGAATGACTAATTTGATCTTAAACGAACTTACCAGCGATTCCTGGCCAATCTTCCTTCCGATTCCTGGCGATAACTGGCCAATCTTATGTGACAAAGATAACGCAGCTCATTATAAACATTTGCTAGCACGGAGGCTGCGCTAAAGGCTAACAGTAACTTTAACTTCAATGAACGGGTTGCAATGCCAAACGATTTAGAACGATGTTAAGGTACGTGTAACCTGTGTCAGCGTCAGTTATTTCAAACTTTTGCTACAGTGTTTAGAATATAACAGGTTGATGCATATAGTAATACAATAGATTTGAAATAGCCAGATGGATATAAGCATTAACAAAACTGTATACTTAAGTTAAATGATTGGTTATCGTTGTGATCTGCAACGTCCCCATCTGAGAAAGCAAATATAACATGCATACATTGAGATTATATCAAGTCCTTCATAAATGTGTTTTTTTTCTTTTTGATCATTAATAAAAAAACGGCTTGCAGTTAAAATCAGGGAGCGGCCTTTTTGTGCAGACTTGAAATTCAATTGGCTGCAAAAATTAAATTGAAGATAAATTGATTTATAAATCAATTTATATTTGATCGTCAGCATTAATTCTATTTAGCGTGACCCACATTTTTCAGCAGTTTTCTTTAAAGCTGTTGTCATAATTTTATTGGCGGATTTATCAGCACACCCCAAAACTGCCGTTCAATGCAGACGTGGCCGCAAGCGCCATAATTTTTTTTGTCGGAAATGTCCTCTTTGTTATCTCCAATTGATCGCACCGCAGCGAAAAATAAATCAATCAAATATACTAGACGATACAGCAATTTATATTTTACTATAGCGAACGAATATACTGAAAACTTTTAATGTGGAGATGCATATCTCTTGGTCTAGATAATCGACTTCGTATTAATGATGTCCATAGGTGGCCATTGTGACTTAATAAATGGTCGTGTGATATACAGTGATGTCCGTTCTAGGCTCTAGGCCTGATGAAAAAATTTTTAACGCAGATCTTCTAAAAGAACCGCCGAAGCTTCAGATAACGGGGGCCTTTTTGGATACGTTAAGCTCGTTTGGTTTTCTTTCGACGTTTCGTCAGCGATCATATAACGGCATTAAGCTTAGTTCTGCAGCTTGCAGTGTGACTGGACAGAAATCCTGATCTGCTGCGAGCAAACCTTCTGCAAACAGTTTGTTCGTCTTCAATTGTTTTGAAATGTCATAGGTGTGTGCTATTTCACAAATTTAATCTAATAGCGAGACATCATTAAATTGTGTCAACAGTTTAATGGAGTTCTATTATCACGTTATCCCTATAAAAACGCCCGAAAATGGCTAACTACGGCGGCTGCCCCTTCTACCGTATTGACGTACAACAACGTACAGTTTACATGTACGGAGACAAGACACGTAGTGTTGGATAACCCAAGCGCTTCAAAAGAGGCATTTAATTATAACGTAAACGTTTTCTCTATGATAAGGAGTATGCCCGCCTTGTCTTTTTTTGTCTTTATTATCATGAAAACAATCTCCATGAAGAAAATGTAAGCGCAAGCAATTTTAGCAATGGATAGATGCAGTGGTGTTGTAGGCCATCGTGATGTAGGAACAACCCACTGATTGTTCCGTCAATGCTGACCGAGTGTTATAAATTGACGCTGATAACTTCGACATTTCTAGTAAATCAAGTACTTTTTTTTTATCACAAACGAACATATTATGCTGCAGAGGTCTAACCGACGACTCAATGCATTTGCGGTCGCTCAAATAACCGCGCCAACTTCTATGTGAAAATAATGGAAAGCCTCTACCCATACCTATTATACTTGCATACACGTACATACGTATGTACAAATACAATAAAGGCCAGGGAGCTGCGTCGTTTACTTTACAACTATTCTATAGAAATCAACACGATACTTACCTTTCGTTTCTTCTCTTTCGGAATTTCTTCGATGTCTATTGGGCCAAATTACCGCACTAGGCCAATTTGGTCCGCATTTTATTGGTGTATGATTCTTACGAGGGCAAACGTATCGTATAACACTATTTTTTTTTTGAAAAACGTCTTTCTTTCTCCCTTCTAATAATTTGAACTTTTCTCGCTACAGATGGCCAACAGTTAAGCATTGACGAACTATTAAACACAATACGTTAATTATCGTTTTATGCTGGAATGGTCTGTCTAAGATCCCACGCCATGTTCCGATGGCGACTGATTTTTGCAAGCTTTTGTAATATACGGCTATATCGCTATATACTGTTGACATATCTGTATGCATATGCATACATTTTCAAACATTTGCCTGCACTCGTTTATATACTTGTCGGTTTATATGTCGACAGAGATCAACACATAGGCACATTCTATATGTATATAGAGCTAAGGAGCGTTATACGTTCAGTTAAAAGAATCTAGAACGCCAATAACTATGTTATTAAGAAAAACCTTTGAAAACAAATGCGTTTTAGCGATTATCGTCGAAAATCTCATGGAGCGACGTTCAACTACTCGACCGCAATGATAAGAACAGGGCTTGCGAATCTTTTTGATCTGCTTTTCAATGGTGTAGTTCTGCTCATACTCCATCTTGGGTGATTTTTTCCAGGCGCTTTGAGCGAACAGAAGCGGCAAGAATTTTTTTTAACAATTTTTCCCTTTCGAAATGAACTGGTAGTACCCGGAACTCGAAAACCAAATATTTTTGGTGGCTTTATCGACTCCAAGCACCAGTTCCTGGGTCAGTACACTCTTTAGTCTCTA